TTTTTTTTTTTTTTGGTACTGGAGTTCAAACTCGGAACCTTCTACTTGTGAGGCAGGCGGCAGAACCACTAAGCTAAATCCCTGGCTCTTGAGTATTACTATTGATGCATGTAGAATGTTTTCTTGCATTTCATTATCAGTGTATTTTAAAACATCTTATAGCATATTGTCCATTACAATTTATAACATTTTGTGACCTAATTCTAACATTGGATCATTCAATCATATATGACTATTTTGTAACATTTGACTAGTCAAACATTTATTTACATTTCTGTTTTCTTCCTCATCTGAATCAAGGTCTTCATTCTGTACTTCTCTGTCATATCTTGCTAACTTGGCTTACACGATGCAAGTCACCATCGGTAGCCGAGTCACCTGATCACTTACTTTCAACCTCCTCCCAAAGTTGTAAAAGCGGATTTTCATGCAACATTGTACTGAATTGAGCTAATGCTACAAGAAAAATCAAAATAACATTTAATAAAAAAATATAAATACACAAAAATGTAGCTGCATAACATGGGTTAAACTCACCCATTTACACTTTTACATGAGTGTATACATGTTCGTGGTATCAAGTGATTGAACAGAAATATTGCTTCCTATATTTTCCCAGTGCAGCTGCTGAGATGCACAGCTGGCTATTGTCCTGCTAAAGTACATATTTTCATTAGAAAAGTATGATATGATGGTCTGTGACCCAGTATGAGGAACTCAAGGTTTTGCTTCAGTGACATCCATTCTTTGTCTGTGTAGAGCCTGTTCTTTGTGTAGTAATCTTGAGCTGTTAATATATTTGTATTTATCCTGTCCTTTCAGAATCTCCTTCCTCTGTAGGAATTCCTTTTGCCCTCTTGAAGGTGGTGAGAATTAAGGGAAACCATACTTTCCCAGGAAGCCATCTGTTATCCAGGGGATAACAGATGAAGACTTCTCCTTGACATGGGGAGGAGCCCTCTTATGTTCCTGGGCTTTGTTGAGGCCTGATTGGAAAACTGGGAGTTCTTTCCTCCTAGGATCCAGTTTAAGTGAGCAGGTTAAGTCCCCTGGGAGGCAACAGCAGCAAGGCACATTCCTTTCTGCATATGCTAAGGGACTCTATCCAGGCTTAGTCTGCTGGGACTCCTGATGTCACCTCCCCATGCTGCCAGCTCCCTCACCTCAGCCTGAGAGGTCCCGAGTAGGAAATTAGGGGCATAGATAGGGGGAGGTTACAAGCATATATTCAGGTTATTCTGCAGAATGCCCTTAAGAATTATTTGATTTATTATTTTTTTTTGACAAGGTCTTGCTATGTATTTTAGGCTGGCCTTGAACTCACTGTGTAGCCTTGGCTGGCCTTGAACTCATGGCTATTCTCCTGCTTTAGCCTTTGGAGTGCTAGGATTATAGGCATGTGCCACTGCCCAACTTAAGAATTATTTGAGTTTGCATTGAAATAGTTCTACAAATATCATATCCATTACTTTGCCATTTTTGTTGCTATCTGTGCCTGTCTTGTGCTGGGTCTAGAGGTCATGGTATCTGAGGCTTCTTAGTTTCACAGTGTAGCCTGGCTTTGATTAATGTATCAATAAATGTTGGGCAGGTGAATAATGTCTCTCTCTCTCTCTCTCGTAGAAAATAAAAAGCAAGGTAAAGGTTCCAAAAGCTGCAAGAAGGTAAGTTGCCCTTCCCTTCAGGTGAGGTATGCCCATTATTGGGGATCAGGTCAGTAGATAATGGTTGAGTGGACACGAGTACTACAGTAGAATTAACATATCTGACGTTTTTCTCTTTCTGGGTGGCCAAGGCAGAGAATTGGCAGCAGTGTGTATTAAGTTCCCCACCAGAAGCCATATACTGCTTTGTGCTTGATTTACTTTGATAGGAATTATCACTCCCCCGCTTTTTGCTTGTGCTGAGTGAGGAACTTAGGGCCTTGTTGCGATGCTAGGCAAGCGCTCTACCACTGAACTACACTCCTAGCCCATCTGTCTTTACTTTTTAAACTAAGAAACTGCCTCAGTGAGAAAGTTCCTGCGTTCAAGGTAACATAGATAAGCCTTGGGCTGCTTTGATCCCCAAGTCCTTGTTTCTCAGGGAGAGGAGGGAAGCTAAAACATCATCTTAGGTTCCAGGTCCTGGATCTCCTGGGAAAGGTATGACCTGGAAATGGCTTGGGTTCTGAAATGTTAGTGTGGGTAAAGTTAACAAACACTCCAGAATCGCCTGCAGGTTTGCTTAAAACATAGACTGTTGGGTCCCACTCCATAGCTTGATTCAGAATGTCTGGTATGGTGTGGGATGATTTGTATTTCTTTTTCTTTCTCTTTCTCTTTCTCTCTTTCTTTCTCTTTCTCTTTCTCTTTCTCTTTCTCTTTCTCTTTCTTTCTCTTGACAAGTTCTCACTTTATATTTCAGGCTGCCTTTGAACTCATGGCCATCCTCCTGATTTAGCCTCCCAAGTGCTGAGACTATAGGCATATACTACCATGCCTGGCTAAATAATTTGTATTTCTTTGTAAAAGTTTTTAAATTTTTATTAGTACGTATTTGCAGTACATAATGATTTGCATTCATTGTGGGAATTGGTACATGTACATTAAACATCTCAATTCTTTTTTTCCCCCTTCCCTTTCATTCCTCTTTTTTAAAAAATTGGTTATTTTGCCAGCTTCAGGTTTCATTTATTTTATAAGTCCTTATAAAGTTATGGATTAACAGCTAGACTAACAGGTCAAAAAACATACAGAAATACATAAGACAGTTGTACGAAATCAGGGTACATTTTTAGATACATTGTCCATGCTGGATTATGATAACATTTTCTCTCTCTTTTTTTCCTATTATCTGTCTTTTATTTTGTACTTTATATATATTGGGTTTATCATATAAGAGAAACCATAGATAATTTGTATTTCTCACAAGTGCCCAGGTGATGCTGCTGCTGCCAAGGACCACACTTTGGGAATTACTTGCTTAGAAAGCTTTTCCTTTGGTCTTGGAAAACCTTTCCAGGAACCCTGCCACTGCTCCTAGAACCACTTCCCTAGAGTTCTGCAATCAGTCTGTGCCTGGCTAGGGGAGGGCGAGTCTGCCAGACAGGCATATCTCTGGGGATAGAGCCTTTTTTTGCCTGTTCTTTTCTTTCCCTTCAAAACTATCCTCTTCTGAACAACTTTAGGCCCTACCTGTCTGGGGGGTTGGATGAGTTCCATGGGTTCATGAGTTCTGTTTTATTTATTTTTTCTCTTATCTTGTAAACAGCCTACAAAGCAAAATGGAAAGAAAGCAACCGCCAGAGTGTCTTCCACTTCCCATTTTGTTCACTGCAATGATCACACCAGCCGGGAGGTGGCATTAAAGAAGAAGAGGGTGAGTTCTTTACATTGATTAGGAGAAAGTCCCTGGCTTCAATGCCCAGTCTGTGGAACTGTTGGTTGGAAGGGCAGCCACCAGAGTTGTGAGAATTCTTCAAACTGTGAATGTAGGAAGTGAGGCAGGTTATCTTGATAATAAATTTAGTGTCTGCTTACCTCTCCCTCACCTTCCAATCCATTGTCACCTGGCTTATATTCCCACTGCTGCACTGAAACCACTCCTCCTTGTCTCACTAGTGTATCACTCCTGTGAATAGTTTTCTTCCCTTATCAGTGGAATTTGTGGCTAGTTTCTTCCTTCATCTTAGCGGGATTCTCAGGATTTGAACCCATGTTTTCCTTGAAGCACTTGACTTTGACTTTGTCATCTCATTTTCCTAGCTGTCTCCTTCCATTGTGAACAGCCTTTTCCAGTTTCTTTAGCTGCTCTTTCCTCCTTTTTTTTTGTGATGGGGTCTTGCTATGTTTCCTAGACTCCTGGGATCAAGTGATTCTTTAACCCTGTATGGTCTTAAGTGGTTCCTTCTCCCTAGGATGCATTCTCTCTGCTTCACACATATTCTTATTATTTTTCTCTGCTATTCTGCCCTACTTTCATCTCTCTTTTTCTTCCTCTGAAACACTTTTATCTACTACTGTCCTCTTTACCCTCTCCCTGTACTCTCCTGTTCCTCCCAACTCCTGTGCAACACTGTTTCTTCTGTTTGTCACCCATTGCTCTCTTAGGCTGCAGACCCAGTCAGTTTATATTCTCAGTCTCTGTTTACTTGTTAGATTGAGGAGATAAGGGAGAAGCAGCAAGCTGCTCGGGAGCAAGAGAGACACAAACACAGGACCATTGAGAGCTACTGTCAGGATGTCCTGAAACGCCAGGAGGAGTTTGAACGCAAGGTAAAAGGGTAGCCTTTGCTCCTCAGTGGGACTGGTATGGGTTTGCCATTGCTGTGAGAAAAGGAAAGGGGAGATGTGAAATTGTTGAAGAAAAGAAAAGAATGAGTACAGAGAGGAAGGAAAATAGTAAGGACAGAGGGGAGAGGATGAGAGGGAAGTAAGGGCCATTTTTCAGCATTATCTGTGGCTGGACATCTCTGGAGAGGGCCTCTCCCAGGCTTGAACTTAAAGACGTCGAGTGGTAAGGGTAGGTATTCTGTGGGGAGAGGTATGACTAGGGGAGGGGACAGGGAGAGGGAATAAGGGTATAAAGGGAGGATTGAGACAGACAGGAGCATATATGGGGGATTTCGTCTTCCTTTTAGGCCTCCTTGCTGCCTTTCTGGCATCTGTTCTTGTCTCACACACAGAATATACACTTGCCAACTCATACTCCCTTCTCTGGCATGTGGTACAGATTTGCCTCCTCCCATTCCATGCCTCCCATAGATTTTTTCTTTTTTTTTGGTATATCCTTTTATTGGTACATTATATTGGTACATTATATTGGTACATTTTATTAGTACATTTTATTGGATATATATTGGTACATTATACATGTCATTATATTGTACACCTAAAATGTCCCATAGATTTTTCTTACAGCCCTTCTCCCATCCCTTTTTCACACACCCCTATGCACACTCAGGGCTCTGGCTGGTGTGCTAGCACACACACACATCCACATAGGCACACGTAGGCACCATGTGAGTATATCCACTTTTGTTCCAGTGCCCAGCTCTGTTGGTTGGTCAAAGCTGCTTTTAGGTGGGCTGAGACTCATGTGACTTACTCAGCCTTCTGTGCTTTCCAAAGCCCTGGCACTTTCTCACCTCCCTTTTCCCCCTGGACCATTCTTTTTTTTTTCTTTTAGGAGGAAGTTTTGCAGGAATTAAATCTGTTTCCTCAGTTGGATGACGAGGGCACAAGGAAGGCTTATTACAGGGAGTTTTGCAAGGTACAGGGATTCATTTCTTTTGTTGTTTTTTTGAGACAGGGTCTTGCTATGTAGTTCAGGCCGACCTTGAGCTCACTGTGTATTCTAGGATGGCCTTAAACTCAGGGCAATCCTCCTGTCTCAGCCTCCCGAGTGCTGGGATGACAGGTATGTGCCATCATGCTGGGCAGGAATTCATTTCTTAAGGCTTTTTGGGTGAGGGGGGGGGTCCCAGTCCATTTTCATTTCTTCTCCATTTTCTTTTTGCTGACTAAGCTGAAGACTTTTCTTTACTAGTCTGAGTAACTGCTACCCACTGTGTTCCCTGTTTTCATACTTTTGTCCTCTGCCCTGCAGGTAGTAGAATACTCTGATGTGATTCTGGAAGTCCTGGATGCCAGAGACCCATTGGGCTGCCGATGTTTCCAAATGGAAGAGGCTGTTTTGCAGGCAAAAGGCAACAAGAAGCTGGTCCTGGTTTTGAACAAAATTGGTAGGTGCTGGGCAGGATTGAGTAAGGCAGGGGAATGGGCCAAGTTTTCTTTCTTTTTTTTTTTTTTGAGACAGAGTCTCAATCTGTAATTCAGGCTGGCCTTGAACTTGCGGCAATCCTCCTGCCTTAGCCTCCTGAGTGCTGGAATTCTAGCCATGTACCACCATGCCTGGCAGGTCAGGCCTTCCTGAAAGATTAGCTTGAACCAGATTCTGAGACCCAGCAACTCAGTGGTACTCGTAACAGTCATTAAAGGTAGTAATTCTTGTTTCAGTTTTCCAAGTCAGGTATATTGTTTGAAGACTTATGGTATAGCCTGAGGTGGGAGTGGAGTACAAGCCTGTCTGCCTTTCAATCTCCTGTTCTTGCCATTTTGATCAATTCCTGTAACTGAAAAGCCTTGGAGAGCTCCTCTGTGCCCGAGGCTGGAACTCAGAATCTGACGCAGAAGAGCACATGGGCTCAGGGGTCACTCAAGTCTGAGTCTCATCCCACCTGTGCTGTTTTCTCTGAGATAGTGGACAAGTCATGTCACTTTTGAGAGCTCTTGTTTCTCTGTTAAATGGGCCATGGATGTCCCAACCTCAAAGGTTTATGAGAACTAATGATAAAGTGCTTGGTATGTGGTTAGTACTTGAGAAATGATAGCCATTCTTTGACAGTTATTTTTGACATTTGCCTCAGCATAGAGAAGGGATGGAACGTATAATCTTTGGGAAGCCTCTGGCTCCTGACTTGACAGGATGATGTCTGGGACCAAACAGCTAGTTTGTACATTTTTCCTGAGGGAATAGGTCCCCTTAGCGAGGGTCACTGGTCCTGTGGACCAGACTGTCCATTTTAACTCTAACCTAGGGACTAAACAGAGACTGAGAGGTCCAGTAGAGAGACTTGTTGGCAGGAGGTGGGCCTAGCCATGAGTGTGGGCAGATATATCTTTGAGAGAGACATGGGAGGTGATCTTCTTTACCAGCCCTATCTGTTCCTATTTTCCCAGACCTAGTTCCCAAGGAGGTTGTGGAGAAATGGCTAGATTACCTTCGGAATGAGCTACCAACTGTGGCTTTCAAGGCCAGCACCCAGCATCAGGTCAAAAACTTGGTAAGTCTGAGATCAGAAGCCTCTAGCCTCTTTGAGGGTAGCCAGAAGCCATGGGGTGGGGGGCGGTTTATAACTTGGACCAGGCCCTCTAGCTCTTTAGAGATTGAAGTTGGTCTTCAACTATGAGCTTTTTACTTTACTGGGGTGACTTCTTAATTTTAGTTTTACTTTATCCCTTCCTATATTATTCTTTGGGAAGCAGGTTTTGGTTTTGTTTTTTTCCATACTGGGGATCAAACTTGGGACCTTGTGCTTTCCAGGAGGTGTGGCACCACTGAGCTACATCCCCAGCCCTTATTTTGTTCTCATTTTTAGCTATAAGGATAATACATACTATTTATAGGAAACTTGGGGTTTTTTGTTTTGTTTTTTAGGAAATTTGGAAAATGTAGTTAACTACTTACTAACTTTAAAAATTATATAGCTATTAATTTTTCTCTTTAAAATAAGCCATACTACTTAATGGTATCATTAATATAGAAATACATTTTCATTATAAAATGTTAAAGCTTACAGAAACATTGGCTATTTCTAGGGAGAGAAATTGGGTACTGGGGACATTTTTTTCTACTTTGTACCATATATTACAGTTACTATTCTTTTTCATAGTTTTGGGGATGGACCCCAAGGGTTTGTGCATGCTAGGCAAGCTCTGTGTCACTGAGCCATGTCGCCAGCCTCTCGTTCCCAGTTTTTCTTTGTTATAACCACTGCTTCCATAAAACATCCTTGCATGCCTGCTTGGCAAGTGGGCAAGTGTTAGTATGGGTTAGGTACTGAGAGGTAGAGTGACTGGGTCAGACATAAGCTTTATTCATTATACATTTTCCTAGACACTAACAAATTGCCCTTCTGTTTATCCTCTCATTAGTGAAATAGATGAATGTATGTGAGGGCCTCTTTCTCTACATCCTTGCCAATACATAACATTATCATAACATTAAACTGTGTGCCTTTTGTAAGCACACCTATTTTTATTCCCACTGGCATGTTATTGATTCTCTCACAAATCAACATTTTCTGAACAGAAGTCTCCATATAAACAGGGTCAGTCTACAGTGAATTTATTCAGATAGCATTGAACTTTTAAGTTTTTGAGAAATACAATATCTCATTTACTATTTTGGCTTTTTTCTTTTGCTGTGTTGTGGTGGGGATCAAAGCCAGGGTCAGCATGTCTAAACATGCTAGACAAGCATTCTACCTGTGAGCTACACATCCCAGCCAAATATTTTTTCATTTGCCATTTTGATGGCAAGGATGTTGTAAACATTCTTTTTGAACAGTTATATTCCATTTGTTTTTCATCTTACAGATATACCTTTTGAACCTGTTTCTTATTGATTGATATTAAGATTCATTCCAACTTTGTGATATTAGAAATGATGGGGTGAGTGAGGGAAGAGGAAAAAGAGGAAGGATACTCTGGGCAGAGGAGATGGTGTCTGGAGTAAAGAGATGGAGGCCAGGATAGCCTTGTTCTGTGTGAGGAGTCAAAGGAAACTATGCTATCAGCCATGTACCATCTCATCCCTGCATAGGCAGGGAGGGCAGGTATCTCTGTACGTGAAGGCACTGAGGCCTGGGGAAGGGAAGTATACTTTGCCGGGAATAGGCTTTTGAGAGGTAGAGCTAGAACGCAAACCTGGCCTATATAGAGCCAAAATGCCATCTTGCCCCTTCATGTGAGGCAGGAGGCACATGTGTGACAGCAGAGAAGACTGGAGACATAAAGGTAGTGGAAGGGAATGGAGAAGTGGCAGGTCTTCAGAGCCTGTGTGAGAAGCCCTCCATTTCAGGCTGAGGAGCTCAGTGATCACAGAGAGGTCCTGAATGTTTTCCTGCAAGATGGAAATCTAGGTTCAGACCACATCTCTCATCTAGTGCCTCTTCTCTAATAGCATTCTCATTTCCCAGAATCGGTGCAGTGTGCCAGTAGAGCAAGCCCCTGAATCACTGCTGAAAAGCAAATCCTGCTTTGGAGCTGAAAACCTCATGAGGGTTCTGGGAAACTATTGCCGCCAGGGTGAAGTGCGTACCCACATCCGTGTGGGTGTCGTGGGTAAGGTTTGGTGAATGTCAGGCTCCTTCCTCAAGCAGGGACTGAATTGAGGAAAAGGATCCTGGGAAGATTGTGTTGCCTTTTGCGGGGAGAGGGGCATGGTTCAGGAAACATTTTGTGATTTGTACTTTGACTAGGTGGGCATAGGAAAGCATATTTGGAATCACCATTGTGGGTTTTTTTTTCTTTTTTGAGATAAGGTCTCACTGCGTAGTTCAAGCTGGCCTTAAGCCCACACGTGACCAGGCTGGCCTTGAACTTGTGGCAATCCTCCTGCCTCAGCCTCCCAAGTGCTGGGATTACAGGCATGTACCACTATGCCCAGCTCAGCCATTATGTATTGAGTGTTGGAGTCATGGACCAAATGCATGGTTCCAATTTTGGAGTCGCTATCATCTCATTCTCTCAGAGCTGAGGGAAAGAGATATGACCATCCCTGTTTTCACAGATGAGAACACTGGGGTCCAGAGAAGGGAAAAGGGATTTGTGGAGCTCAGTCCTGTGTGAAACAGGGCAGAGCTGAGGTTCAAACCTGGGCCTTTCTGGAATCCAGGATTCTGGGGGAGGGATCATATGGGGGAACAGAGAATTTGAAAGAGGTACAGACAGATTATCATGGTGAGAAAGTGAAGCTGAGAGAGACATATTGGAGAGAGAGCTGGACACTGAAAATTGTATAAATTTGCATACCTGAATAGACAAAGAGGAAGACAAAAAAAGAACAGGGAAGCCAGATGGCAGGGTTGGTAGAGAATGGAAAAAAAAAGACAGATTTAAATGACAGAGGTATAGAGGGGAAGGGAGAGCCCAAAGGGAGGATGTATTTAGAGAGATCTGCAAAGGGAGATACCAGAGGGATTGAGACACCCCATCTATGTTGATGTGAAGACATACATTGCCAAAGAAAGGTCATACATACAAAGGATAGATTTAGAGAGAGTTACATACAGAGGAACACACACAGACCCAGAGGAGGCATATCTTGAGACACAAACTCAAATAAAATGCATGCAGACCAAACCCTTTTTGGAGATATCACAACTCTGCTCCCTCAAAGCACATAGAGCCATAGAGAGACACATATTATATACCCAGGTACAGCACGACTCTGACACAAACCAGAGTTACAGAGAGAAACAAATAATACAGACATCTCTGATATATATCAGAGATGTCTGTATTATTTGTTTCTCTCTCTCTCTCTCTCTCTCTCTATATATATATATATATAGATATATATATATATATATAGAGAGAGAGAGAGAGAGAGAGAGAGAGAAAGGAGTAGGGAGACAGAAAAAGACACAATGAAACATAAAGGGAACATGCACATAGAAAGATAAGCCCACAAAGAGGAGGAATGTGGTCAGAAAGAGATTGGCAGGAGTTAGCATAGAGGGAATTGCAAAGAGAGGAAGAGTTGGTGAGGTGGAGGGAATCAGAGAAAAAGGACAATGGCCAGAGTGAGAAAGATGTTTAGATATAGACATATACAGAGAGACAAAGAGATGCTAGAGAAATAGGCTGAATGAGAGAAAAAATAGAAAGCAGTTATATGTAGAATGAGAATGACAAACAGACACACAGGTAGAAGTATACGAAGGCTTGAAGGTCCCCAGGGTTCCCCATGGCATCTATGAAAGAGAGGTACACGTGTAAATTCGAGCACATGCAGACAGAGAACAGATAGAATGAGATTCAGAGAGAAAGAAACATATGAAGACATCCTTAGGCCTAGAGCAGCTCACAGGTGTCCAAATGCAAAAACATACCAGAGAAAAGACAAGCTGAGCTGGGCATGGTGGCACATGCCTGTAATTCCAACACTGGGGAGGCTGAGGCAAGAGGATTGCCTCGAGTTTGAGGCCAGCCTGGGCTACATAGTGAGTTCAAGGCCAGCCTGAACTATACAGTGGGGACCTATCTCAAAACCCAAAAAAGACAAGCTGCATGGAGAGACAGACTGGCAACTGTAGATGAGCCCCCTCTCCCAAGGGGAATTACACACCAGAATAGATGGTCCTCTGTTACATAGACATTTCTTGATTTCCACTTTCTGGTGGATCTTGTCTGTGAGGCCTTGCATCTTTAGGTTAGTTGTGGGTAGGAGATGAATGTCACATCTGGAGAGGACATGTCTACTCAGCGTGTTCACAAAAGGACAGGGGTAGAGAGGGCTTGGGGTTGCAGTCAGGGTCTAGGATGGGAATACAGAAGGCCAGGCTCTATTTTTGGCTCTCCATGGCCTGGTCATTGCTCCTGCCAGGGCCTTCCTCACTCAGGCTGGCGTAAATGTTCCTGTGTACCCTTTATGTCTTGAGTCATCTGCTGCTACTTTGCAGGACTCCCCAATGTTGGGAAGAGTAGCTTGATCAATAGCCTGAAGCGCAGCCGTGCATGCAGTGTGGGAGCTGTTCCTGGGGTCACCAAGTAAGCACCTGCCTACTCTCCCAATCTCCAACTCCTTGATACTACCTATCATCGCTCCTAACTCCCATACCTCAGGATCTGCCCTTTTCTTAATTTTGGACTATCTGATTCTTTGCTTGGACATGGGTGTTCCACTATGAATACTCATTTGCCTGGCATACCCTAGGTGTATGCCAGGTGCCATCCTAGCTTTTCCTCATTAGCTCCATGAAGCCTCCTAGCAAGTATGTAAGATTTGGCTACTTGTGATAGCTCTGTTACCTGGAGGAAGCAGCTGAAGCTCACAGAGTCAGAAGCTTGCCTGAGGTCCTACACCTTAGTCCCTCAGTCCCCAGTGGCAGAGGCTAGATTTTAGAATCAACCCTGGATCTTTAGGGTCCCAGAGGCCCCTGTTGCTACATCTCTCTACCTCGCCTATAAGAGACCCTCCACTCCTTTACCTCCTCCCAACCTCCCTAGGTCTAGCTTTTGTGACTAGATGCCAGATACATCCAGGCTTTCTTTTTAATCTCATGCCTAGATTCATGCAGGAGGTCTACTTGGACAAGTTTATCAGGCTGCTGGATGCCCCAGGCATTGTCCCAGGACCCAACTCAGAGGTGGGCACCATCCTGCGCAACTGTATCCATGTGCAGAAGCTGGCAGACCCTGTGACCCCAGTGGAGACTATTTTGCAGCACTGCAATCTGGAGGAGGTATGAGCCAGGGCCCCTGGTGGATGCCATACCTCACTCCAAGGTCCCTTTATTCTTCTTCATGACTTCTCTTCCTCTCTTCACCAGATTTCCAACTATTATGGTGTGTCTGGGTTCCAGACCACTGAGCAGTTTCTGACTGCAGTGGCCCACCGCTTGGGGAAGAAGAAAAAGGGAGGCTTGTATAGTCAGGAGCAGGCTGCCAAAGCTGTCTTGGCTGACTGGGTGAGGTAAGGAGGAGGCTGAGCATGAGGCTGGCTGGGAGTCTGGCTCTACAAGGGTTCATCTGTTCTTTGCAGCTGGTGGGGCAGCCTGACTTCCTTGGTCCAAGGGTGAGGGACAGCCAAGGCACCAGTGCATGTCTTACTGCATGCCCAGTGATTATCCAGCAGTTCAACCCATTGTTGTTCAGAGCCACTGTCTGGATTTTTTTTTTAATTTTAATTTTTATTAGTACATGCTTGCAGTACATAATGATTAGGTTCTCCATGGGGAGTTGGTCCACGTATATAATACATCTTAATTCTTGTTATGTCCCCTTCCCCCTTATCTGGATTTTTTGGTCCCTTGCCATTTCTTGCTTGCCACTTTATCCTCTTTTTGGTTGGTCATTTGTTCTTTCATTGACATCACGACTGTCTTCTTCCACCTCCCAATGCAGTGGGAAGATCAGCTTCTATATACCACCACCACCTACACACACTCTGCCTACCCATCTCAGTGCTGAGATTGTTAAGGAGATGACTGAGGTCTTTGACATTGAGGATACTGAGCAGGCCAATGAAGATACCATGGAATGTAAGTGTGGACGGGTAGGTACACCTGGTCTTGTCCTAGCAGAGCCACACAGATCTGACCTGATGGCAGATCCCACATTTTTTTTTTTTTTTGGTACCGGGGATCGAACTCGGGTCCTTGCGCTTGCGCAGCAGGCAGCGAAACCACTGAGCTAAATCCCCGGCCCTGATCCCACATTTGATCTCCCTTTTCCTGGCCCTATGTCTTGGTCACTTTCTTGTCACTGGGACACAATACCTGACAATGACAGCTTAAATGAGGAAAGGTTTGTTTTAGCTTAGTTTATAGAGGTTTCAATCCATAGGCTGCCTCCAAGGCAGGGCAGCATGGCAGAGGGACATGGCAGAAAAGAAATAGCTCATGGCATAGTAGCAAGAAGAAGAGAAAGAGAGATCAGGGAGGAGGGAAGGAGATATACTCTTTCATGTTATGCCCCAGTCACCCAACTCTTCTAACCAGGGTTTACCTTCGAAATATCATATTTAGCTGTAAACTCATCAGTGGACTAATTGGTGAATATCACACCTCCATTATCCAGGGACCTCCTCAAAGCCCTATCTGTGAATGCATGAGGCTCTGGGGGGACACCTAGATATAAACTGTAACACTGTTTGGGCTTTGGACAAGTTTAACCAACTCTAACCTTAATTTATCCTGCAAGGTAGAGAATTCTAAACTGGGCCATGGGGATGGTAGTGATACTGGCTCTGAACTTTTGGTAGATAGGAAAGAAATCAGCAAAGTATCTGGGACCCTTTAAGGTGCTTTGGAAATAGGAGGCTCTATCCCTATCTTTTGGGACGTAGAGTGGATTGAAATGTTCCTTTCAGAAATCCTTTCTCCAGTGTTGCCCTAGGCTTTTTCACAGCCATTTCAAATGCATTCCTAGATTTTTGCTCTTTATTCCCATTGGCCTGTGAGGTATCTAAGTCACAAAAAGGTGATATTTGCCAAAAGTCACCTAGTCAGTGGTGGGCAAAGGTGGTCTTGGAACTAGCTCTCCTATCCTTTTGTCTGAAACTCCTGGCTTAGAATAGCTAGGTGGTAAAAAGTGTGAACTGCTTATATTCGAATCCTAAGCTTTGTTCTACATGAGCTTTGTAATGATGAACAAATTACTTCAGTTCTCCATGTCTCAATGATGTCATCTGAAAAGTGGATACAATAGCACCTACTTGCTAGGGTAATTGTGAAGATTTTAATACTCGATACCCAAAGCTGAAGGAGGAAAGGTTTATTTTGGCTCACAGTTTGTAGAGGTTTCAGTCTATAGTTAGCTGACTGCAAGGCAGGGTGGCATGGCAGAGGGGCATCGCAGAGGACAAATAGCCCATGGCAAAGCGGGGAACCCAGAAGGCAAGGACCACAACAGCCCTCTTTCTGTCCCTTATATTCCATCCAGGCTACCTGCCCTTAGGGTGGGTAACACTCACACCCGGGCTGGGGCACCCTTAATCCCAACATCACACACCCCAGATTCAGCCACCTCTGAAAAGCTCCACCTATGACCACAAGAGGCCTAAGGAGGGATGCAGGGGAACATTTTAGATATAAGCCATAACGAGAGGCAAATGTTGTAGCCCAGTGGTAGAGCTTGTTCATAGCATGCATAAGGACCTGGGTTTGATCCTCAGCACCAAAAAAAAAAAAAAATAGTAAAAGACACATAGAACAACAGTGCCTGACATAGTAAATGAATGCTCAGTAAATGTTAGCTGTTACTAAGATCGTAACTGGGATATATAGAGGAGGTGAAAATGTTTCTTCCCTTCAGACACTATGTTCTACAGTCCTGGCTTATAGCTCCTGCTTCTTTTTCCATCCTGTCCATGCAGAGTACCTAGTGCTCTCTGGGTCTATTTGTAGATACTCTAGGGTAGTTAAAGTCCTAGCTGTTCTAGCTTCTAGTTTGTTTCTCTTGAGGGCCCCCGTTTTCCTTCTCTGGATCTTCTAGTGTCCTTGGATTACAAATGAGGACTTATCTACTTCCTAGTTTATTCCTTATGTGGCTTCAGGGATGTCAGCCCTCTTTCTGAACCTTAATTTCTACTTATATCAGATGGGCAGTTGAGAGGGATTGGAGCTCCTCTTAGGATGATGCTTGACCTTGACCATAACTGAGAATGCATTTTGGGAAATTGAGAAGGAGGTTGGGGAAGAGGTTAATGGTGAAGGATTTCTGTAGGGGTTGGTCCTAGTGCTGGATCTTGAAGGGAGAGTAGGCATTAGGAGTCTCAGGAAAGGGGATGGGGACAGAGTTGTAGAGGCTGGTGTGTGGAACAAGGCATTGGGTATATCTGAGGGTTGTAGTGGAGGATAGCTCTGTGCAAGGGGCCAGAGGAAAGAAGAGTCCTGATCTTAGGGAGGGAATCCTAGAGGTTGCCATTTATAGAGCAGCATCAAAGTCAGGCCAGAGCATTGTAGGTGCCCTCTGCCATATCTCACAGCAGCCACATGTGAATATGGCTTGTGGAATTCTGATTTCTCAGATAAGCAAGCTGAGGCTCCAAGATCAGTTCTCAGCAGGCAAGTGTCCATTTATAAAACTCATGCTTTTAATCTTTTGCTAGCCTCTCAGTGGAAAGAAAAAGCCACCTCCCTGCTTACTCCCCCCTGGGCAGCACCCACATGTCCTATCTGCTGAGGCCTGACCAGGAGGTGGCAGTAAGGGAGCTAACCAGAGCCCTGACGGTGTTGGTTGTATTAAAGGCTTGGCCACAGGAGAGTCTGATGAGCTGTTGGGTGACATAGACGTGCTTGAAATGGAGATCAAGAGGCTGCATTCTCCAGTGATGAAAATAGCAGATGCCATTGAAAATAAAACCACCATATATCAGGTACCTATCCGTATTCTTCATGGTAACCCTGTCTTCCACCCAGGGTTCTGACAGTTGGTCAGTCCGCCCAGCTGTCATAGGCAGTGAGGTATATGTGAGTGGGACACACTCTGTGCGCTCCTGGATGCCTGAGCCGGTGTGTTCTTTTCCAAACAAGGACATGTCCAGGGAGGAGGTATAATCTTTTAAGCAAGTTTCTTAGCCCCGATTCCAGCATAGAATAAGTATCACTATCTAACCACTTAGTTGTTCAAGTTGCAAACTACTCTTCCCTTGACTAGTATCTAAGATTCCATATACTGTACCTGTGATAGTGAACCTTTTAGAGACAAGTATCCAAACTGTAACCCAAAACACACTTGTTTATCACAAAGTGCCAACACTGCAGTTAAACCTGAATACTGAGGTTTTAGTTTAGAAAAAACAACCCATACATTAACATCTTTTGTCTTAAAAGGAAAGTAACACAGGTGCTGTAGGTTCACCACCACTGCCATATATACTGTCAGTCAGTCTCATGACTTCTTCCTCCTACATCTCCTGAAAAGCTGTCAATTTCTTTTTATCTCTATCATGCCCACAACCCTAGAATAAGCTTCTAATCCTCAACTCACTTGGACACATGTCCCATGGTTTCTAAGGCCCATTCTGATCATGTTACCTCCGCTGCTGAGAATCCTTTCATGGCTCCCCACCACCTACAGGATGAAGTCTATATGTCTGAAGCCTATTATATAAGATCTGCATGGCATGATAGGACTCCAGGTTTTTTTTTCCAGCCTCTTCTGCTTGTTCCCCTATTTCTGTCCTTCACAAGTTCACATTTTATTTAGTAGATCTCAGACATAGACATCTGCACTATGATAGAGGCATATGGGATACTGGTGGGTCATGGAAACAGAAGTTGGGACAGCATGGATTTGAGAGCCCTAACCTATATCACTTGTGGATCAGGGATGCCTTGGTTGAGCTTCATCTTAAAGGCTGAGTTCTCTGGGCAGGGACTCAGCCTGTGCACATGATAAGGCCTGAAAGAGTGAGTGTAGCGTTAATGGAGAATTTGCTAGTGGTGTGAGATTGGGAGGTGGGAGAAGATGAGTGTGGAATCAGATCACAGAAGGCCTGGAGTTGGACTTTAAACCATAAATAGGAAAACACTAAAAGTCAGGTTTTTTTTTCTGAGTCAAAGGATTTTTTTTCTGTTTTGCTGATTAAAATTTTTGCTTTTTTTCTAGGTAATACGTATACATGGTTTAAAATTTAAAAGATACTAAAGGGTATGCAGTGAAAAGTAAGTCTTTCTCCTACTTCTGTCTCCCATCTACCCTTTCCCTTCCTTGGAGGCAGTCACTATCAGCAGACTTACATTTTCTTTCATGGATAGTATTTATATATACACGTATATATATGCAAATAGCTGAAAATAACTATTTTAATTCAAATAGGAGCATGCCGTTCATATTGTTCTCACTTTGTTTCTCTCACAGATTGATCTTGGAGATCATTTCACCTGATTACATCAAGAGTTGTCTTTTAATTTTTCATGACTACATAATACCTGGAAGAGGTTTTGAACCCAGCATCTTTACACTGAGCTACATCCCTCACTCTGTCTGTCTGTCTATCTTTACCTATCTATTTTTTTTTTTTTTGGTACTGGGAATCCATGCTTGCCAGGTAGCACTGTACTGCTGAGCTACATCCCCAGCCCTTCTATCTATCTATTTTGATACAGGATATCGCTAAGTCACCAAATTGCCCAGACTGGACTGGAACTTGGGATCCTTTTGCCTTTGCCTCCCAGAGTGCTGGGACGACAGGCATGTACCACGATGCCCGTATTTGAAGGGTTTCTTAATGGTCAGGTTTATATATTAGAACTATCACTCGGAAAGAAAGGGGCCAGGGTGGGTGCAGGGAGTCCTGGGAGGAAGCTACAACCTCTACAGCCTCAAGAAAAGGTGAGATCTTAATTGGACCGTGGCAGGTCCTCACATAGTTTCAGAGGTTTCCATATTGCTTAAAGGAAAAATCAGTATAAAGTTGTGTGTTTAAGATTACCTCCCTTAATGATATTTTTCACTCAGCCCGTAAGACCCTGGATATGTAACTTTTCCTCAGAACCTTGTAAGTATTTCCCCTTTCTATACTGTAAGTTCCAAACTCAGTTCAAGGCTCCCAGGAGGGCTACCTCATTACCCAACTGCAGGAGACACCTTTTTAGTTATACAGTATTGTGAATGGTGCCCCTGCTCCCAATTCCAGAATGATATAATATGTAGCTTTGCTCAAACTTGCCCCATCATGTTTTTCCCCACTACAGTATAGTACATGGTCTTATGCATGGGTTCAGGAGCCAGACTCCTTAGGTTCTTACTACTTCACTGTTTACTAGTTAGTGACCTTAGGGTCCTTGTTAGCTTTGTTAACAAGGATTAAATTAATTAATATGTACAAAGGAGTTAATACAATCACATAATGTTTAACAGGGTTATGTTCTGAGAGGTGCATCAGGCAAATTCATTATTGTGTAAATAACCTAGAGTGTGCTCAAACAAACTAAATTGGCTATGATAGACAGTGTAATCTCATGAGACTACCATTGTTTATGTGATGCATCGTTCCCTGACCATCTTTATGTGGCACATTACTACATATCTACCTATATGTATATGTTTGTGTGTATGTCTATATATGTATGCACATATATACTCAAATATATGTATATATTTAGAATGGTACCTGCACACTGTAAATTTTCTGTTAATACTGGCTTTTACTGCTCACATACACTCTTCACTCCTGCCAAACACACTTTTTGATGCCCAACAATGCTTTGTTCTTTTTCAGTGTTCAGTCAGGAATGACCCTCCCCATTAGTGGTATGTTGACCACCACCATTGCCCCCAACCTCTTAGTCACTCATCCTTTGTGTCCCTATTGGGCAGATACCATCTTCTAACTTGTGAGATAGATTGTTGTACCCTTTTTTTAGTTTTTATTTCTTGGTTTTTTGAGATAGGATCTTGCTCTGTGTTATAGGCTGGCCTTGAACTCATGGTATAGCCTATGCTGGTCTCAAACTCAAGGCCGTCCTCCTGTCTCAGCCTCTCCACTGGTGGGATTACAAGTGTATATCATTGCACCCAGCTCTTTGTCCTCTTTAGTCTGCTTGCTTCCTGAAGGTGGAACTGAATCTGACTCATTTTTGTGTCTATTCTCATTGTCTCACACAGCTGGGCACAAAATGGGTTTCAGAAAATAATTCTTAAATTGAGTTAGACCTTGAGGGATCACTTAAGTGAAGAATTATTGTAATACCAGTTGTGATTGATCAAATAACCCTACTTTGTCAATTAAATTTTTTGTAAAAGCCATGCAAGCTACCAGTTATCTACCTCCATTTAACAGATGAGCAAACTGAGGCTGACAGGCTAAGTACCTGCAAGTATATGGCACAGCCAGAACTGGATCCTAGTTCTGCATGGCTTCATGTTCCTTTTTCTTACCCAAGCCTGTCCTTGCCTCCTCTGCAGAAGTCTTTGGAGGTCCTCTGGAAGTCAAGACCTCACCGTTATCCTCTTTTCTCTCCCCAGAGTGGAGACCTTACAGGGTATCGCACCAATCCAAACTGTTATCAGGTGGGGTGGGCTAAACACAATGTGGACCACCACCACTCCAAGAACAGTAGCGTTGGAGAGGTCAGCTCAGTGGACCGCCGTCCAGTTCTGCAGAGGATTATGGAGACAGACCCCCTGCAACAGGGCCAGGTTCTGGCATCCGCCCTGAAGAATAAGAAGAAGATGCAGAAGCGTACAGGTGGGAGTACCTAACTACCACTGTGCTCTGAGAAGGGCCTGCCTGGATTAGGGGCACCAAATTAACATCTTCCATGTGTAATTGCAGCCTAGGGTTGGGGGGCAAGATGGATTAGGAGGCTTAGCTACTAGCACAGTGGTTCTCAGACTCTAGCTTATATCAGAATCACCTGAATGGTTGTTAACACACAGATTTCTGGGCCTTACCTAAAGTTTCTAATTAAGTAGGTCAGTTGTAGGGCCTGAGCTGATGTTGTTCTTCTGAGGAACATACTTATAGAACAACTGCCTAGTCTGTGTATCATATAGACACGTTTATCAGGTGTTTTTTTTTTTTAATGGTGCTGGGGATTGAACACAGGGCCTTTGCACTGAAGCTACATTCCCAGCCCTTTTTAAAATTTTGAGACAGTCTTGCCAAGTTGCCCATGCTGCGCTTGAACTTCTGATTCTCCTGCCTCAGCCTCTCAGAGTGCTGGCATTATAGGCATGTGCTACTACTCCTAGCTCTTAATCTATCAGTATGCAGTAACGTCAGAATCCTAAAGGTTGTACAGTAAAATACCTCTCGCATCTACTAGTCATCCAGGCCTCTTTCCATAGAAAACCTGTTAGTTTCTTGTATCTCTTTCCTGAGAGATACCCACAAGCAAATACTTACATAGTAGTATCGCTTTGACCCTGTCAACCCTAAACTATTCCATGTTTCACAATTAGTCACTCTTGGACTGGCTCCAAACTGAGTCCTGGGAATCCAGGGATAAATTGTTCTTGAACTCCTACTCTTATTAGGGAGTGAGGAGAAGACAAAACAGATATTGATAGCATAGAGCAGTCACTTTGAAGAGAGCAAGCACTGAGAAGAAACCTAACCCAGCCTGGGATGGTGGTTAAATAGATGTGATCAGAGCAGGCTTCCTGGAGGAGATAGACTCTGAGGGAATCCAGAGGAACACTAGGGTGGTACAAGTGTTGAACATTTATATTCAAAGCTACTACTGCTGTGTTGCCCCTTCACTGAGAGCTTTATTTTGAGGGTAATGGTGGAATGCTACATTCAGCACAATAGGAGAAATGTGTTGTTTTGGTATTTGGAAGGATTGAAAATACTTGGAGCCACATGAGTCTTAAAACCTGGGATAGAACCTATGTTGGGATGATCACAGATAGACAACCTGTGGGGTTGAACAGTGGCTTTGAACATCCCACCAGTTGTACTGTTTAGTGTTTGGAGGGTAAGTGAGCCAGTATGGGAGCTTGGTACAGACAAACCTAGCTATAGACCACCTCTGGCAGGCCTTCTGTTGGCGATCCAATTACCAAAAGATTTGTATTTTACCATCTGCAGATAAAATTGCCAGCAAGCTCTCTGATTCCATGATGTCTATCCTCGACCTTTCTGGCAATGGTGATAACAGTGCTGGTGATTAATCCACTGATCTCACCCCTTTACCCCGCCCCAAGCCCTGGTTCCTGTGGGATACAGATGGAGTTTGGTTGTCTCTGAAGCACCTGTATAATAAAAGAATCTCTTCCATACTACGTGTCCTCTCCCTTCACTGTTTCCTCTATTCTCTCCAGAAGAAATAAAAAAAGAAGAAAAAAAAAAAGAAACAAAACCAAGAGCTAGAGCCACTAAGCCCAATACCTTTTATTTAATTCTTGCTATATTTTATGAGAGAGACATAAAATACCAGTAGAGCCCAGGTGCTAATATCTCCCACCCTCGATTCTGGTGTCCTGCCATGTAGGTTGGGCTGATCTGAGAGCTGATTTCCCACCAAACCCTCTTGGACAACTGAATGTAGAACTAGATGATAGACTGCTGATAGAACCTGGTGGTCCCTGGGTGGATGGTTTCTTTACCACTCTGCAAGAGATGTCAGTGCCAAGGCATTCCTGCAGTGGATTCCTGGTCATGTGTATTTCAAGTCCACAGGTCCTCACCTGGGTGGTGGAGGGGTGTTGAGGGAACAATGATGACATTTCTAATTTTGGAAGGGTCTGGGGTTAGGATAGTGGGAAGAAGAGGACAAGCTTGTCTAGTGCTGAAGTGTGGTAGGAGGTACCTTGATTGCATGAAGAGAAAACAAGGCTCTTGTTGGTAGGGAAGCTAGATACTTTAGGGGCAAGTCTTGTCTTGGTATTTCTGTGAATTTGGAGAAATCCCTTTAAAATACTCTGACTGGTCCCTTTGTGTGATCTTACCTTGACCGACTGTCTTCAAAAGAACTGTATTTGGTGATGTACCAGTCAACTCCTTTCCCAGTAACTAGCTACCATTTCTGGGGAGCACCTACTCCATTAGAGAAAGGCAGTGGGTCCAAGCAGTGTTAGGGGTCCTCTGTTAACTTTCCATCGGTATAACAAAATACTTGAAATAATCAACTAAGAAAAGATTTGGGGTTACAGTTTTAGAAGTTCTGGTCCCTGATGGATTGGCCCCATTGCTGTGGCTCTGTAGCAAGGGAGCATATGTTGGGAGCTTGTGGTGGACCAAAACTTCTAGCCTTATGACCAGGACCCAGAAACGGTCTGGGCTCCCACAATCCTTTTCAAGGGATCTACACCTTATCCCCACCTATTAAAGTTTTCTCCACCTCCCAATAATGCCACACTGACCAAGACTCAACACATGGGCCTTTAGGGATCATTTAAGATCCAAACTGTACCAAGCCCTCAGAAAGGGACTGGGATAGATGACTACAACAGACAATCTTGCTTTAGGGAGTTTTGGTTTCTGTACATGATTTCAGTTCCTGGCAGTCTACCTGAGATGATACATTTGAAGAGGATGGGTATTGCATGACTTCAGTCTTTGCCACCCACCAAACTTCCACACCATCCTTGGACTCATGGGTACACTTAATCCTTTTACCTCTCTCCAGCTGGTAGCCCCTAATTTAACTAACTAGATCCTAGGAGGGAAAATGACAGCGACTAGAAAGCTATTGGCTGTAAGCTATTCAGGCAGGCAAGTGCAGACCATTTCTGTGTTCAAGGGGAACCAAAGGAGAGAATTATGTATTGATTGAATATAAACTGCACCAAGCTCTGGAAATCAGTTACCTCCTTTAACCTCAATACAGTTCTGCCAATAAAGGATTGTTCGCATGAAAAATAAATGAGCTCAGAATGTTGACAGGATGTTCCCAAGACAACATTATGTGGTGATACCAGGCTTGGAAACCAAGTGTGATGCTTTTTTTGGTTTGTTTTTGATTTTGGTACTGGGGATCTAACTCAGGACCTTACGCTTGCGAGGCAGGCGCCAAAACCACTGAGCTAAATCCCTGGCTCTGTGATGCTTTTTGTTTTGTTTTGTTTTTGAGGACCAGGAGTGATACTGGGGATTGAGCCCATGGCCTTACGCATACGAGGCAAGCACTCTAGCACTATACTGCTGAGCTACAGTCCAGTCTGTTTTCTTTTCTTTACATTTTGAGAGAGGATCTCATTTAATTGCCCAGGTTGGCCTTGAAATTTTTATCCTACAGGTGTATGCCATTGTAGCTGGCTCCAAGTATAATTGATATGCAGTGCATTTTCTCTGCATTGTACTACTTTAACAAAAGAATATTGATTAAGCACTCACTTTGTGCTAGTTTCTGTTATCAAGTTCTTTGAATACATTTTCTCTTTTGGTTTAAAAATCTAGTGTCTTGCTAAAATTAGATTATCATAGTTTCCTTGGGTGAGGTCCAACTTATTTCACTCTTATTACCAACTCTCCTGGTAGATAATAGTGTTCCAAGATAGCTAGTGCCATTTTTTTTTCTTTTGAAACAGCATCTCACTCTAGTTCAGGCTGGACTTAAATTCACTATGTAGTCCAGGCTGGCTTTGAACTTGGGGCAATCCTCCTGTCTCAGCCTCCCTAGTGGTAGGATTACAGGCATGCACTAACCATTTTCTAACCATATGGAATTTTATAATTTAACACTTAAAATATTTTCTGATATGCTCAAGTAGTGCTGGTAAGTACTAGAAATAGATCTAGATGAGTAGTAAGCAATACAGGATCATAAATTTGACCAATATCAAGCAGAAGAAATAAAGTATGTTAAGAATTTGTCTCCCTTTTAGTGAACCTCTACTTCCTGTCCTCAGATGCTGGCAACCACTGATCTGTGTTGTGCCCCTGTGGTTTTGCATTAGCATGGATACTGTGTAAAGAGAATCATAGATTTTATAGATTTATTTTATAACATTACATATTTAAACTATTATTCTTTTAATTTTTTTCAGCCCTGGATCTGAATCCAGGGCCTGTATATGCTAGGCAAATGTACTACTAAACTACAACCCCAGACCATTTTTTTTTCATTTTTTTCTTCATATATATATACATATATATATATATTCATTAAATTCATTGGTACATTTCAGGTATACAGTACAATGACATTCATCATTTGGAATTTATACCTTTACATGATATATCTTGGTTCTTGTTTTTCCTTCATTCCCCTGCCCTCCCTGCAGACCCACCACTCCTCCCTATTTACAAAGACTTTGTTTCCATTTCTCATATTCTTTTTCCTTTCCTTTACCTTACCCCTCCCACTTCCCATTCCCCTTTAGACAATTTCTGCCTATTTCACATTATGTATTGTACATTTTGATCTATATTTACACTTTCAGGTTCTTACATCAAAGGAACTATTCAGTATTTACACATGTATCCTATTTACTTCACTTAAGTGTATGACCTTATGTGCATCAATTTAGTTACAAATGTTTCTAGTTTCTCATTCTTTATGGCCGAGTAGTACTCCATTTTATAAAAAAACCACATCTTTATCTAGTCTTCAGGTGATGGGCAATTGGGCTGTTTCCAAGTTTTAGCTATTAAAAACTGCTGCTATAAACATGGGTGCGCATATATCACTGTGGTATGATTCTTTATTTTTTGGGAAGATACCCAGCAGGGGATTAGCTGGGTCAAATGGGACCTCTAATCC